GACAAGATGGGATCCTGAGCAATTTAGTCAGGTTTTTGTAATCTGCTATGAATAGTGGTTAAGAGAAATGTTGGCAGCAGGCATAGATAAGGTCAGGGGCGTAGTTTGGCATATCAAACAAGGATTGGAGTGACCAGTGGGATTCAGCAAGCCCCAAATACTCTGTGGCAAAGTAATTGGCCATCAGGATATGGAGCAAAATGCAGTCATAAGCTGTCGTTTCAACCCCGAAAGAGGCACAGATAAAGACAACGGTAACATAGTAGTTCAAATGAACTGAGTAGACATGTATTTTATCAAGGCAAACATAAGCACCAGCTGTGTTCACTAATGAGAAAACGAAAAATATCCTATTGTCTGATGAAACACCAATATACCCGTTTCCCATGACCTTGATTACAAACAGAGCTGACTGAGTTATCCCCACTCTCACATTCAAAGACGACACAACGCTATCTTGACAGGAAGAAGAATGAGCCTTTGTGGTGTACAGGCTGACACTGAGATACCACACAAAGCCAGGTGATTCAGATAAAGAAATGCTCTCATATGAATGGATAGATGGATGGGCCGATAGATATATGGATGGTGATGATAACTATAATATCCTGGGGGCTTTCTTGGCCTGTGGGCGTTGACATGAGGGGAGATGTGTCATTAATCAGATGAGCCAGTGACCCTCCCCTGTTGGCCTGTGACATTACAGCTGCTGTTTCACTCCAAAGGTCCATCACATATTCTTGTGTGCATAGACACTCATGTCTTATAAATATATTTAAGCATCTTCGCTCAGTCCTGAAATTTGATATCTTACAGTAAGCTATTAGCTTACAGTACTGTGCTGACAATTTAAGATAGATTATTTTGATTAAATCTAAACATTTAGTTTTTAATTTAGTGTCAGTAAAGATGTCATTTGACCATGAAGCCCACCACCTGTTTCATAAATGTAGAGATTATCTCGTATTTATTGGAGTGCTTTTTCATAAATTCTGCACTGGTGCGGAGTTTAAAATTAAACACTAGGATTACACCAGCCACCACAACTATGTGTTCCTGATGATCTGATCTGATTATTGGTCTGATATCTTTGAGCATAAGAGTAACACACGTTCAACACCGATTTTTGTAGTTTCCACCACAGCAGGTGGGTATTACAAACTACAGCCAGTCTGTGTCTGGCATAATGGCGCAACTGGTAATTAATAGAAAATGGCCTTTTTAAATAGGAAGCAGCAGGAAACACATTCTTTTCTATATTCAGTAGCTGTCTTTAGCATGTAGCGGCACAAGCCATGTGATGTACACTTGGGAGACCAGTAGAAATGTACTGGTACTAATGCAGTAAAACAGTGATCCCCAACCTCTTTTGTAACACGGACTGGTTTATGTCCGACAATATTTTCACGGTCTGGCCTTTAAGGGCTCGTGGATAAATACAACAAAATAAAACTAGTACCAGTAGCAAAAGAAAGGAGATTCATTCATAACACACGGGAAAAGACCCAGGGAAATGATAAAAATGATAAACAATAATGATAAAAACCAATAAAAACCCTGAAAACCATAAGTTTCACACCTGAGCCTGGTACCAAACGACTTACCGACCGGTACCGGTTCGTGGCCCGGGGGTTGGGGACCGCTGCAGTAAAAAGAGCACTCACACAATAATGCAACTTCTTTCTCTGGTCTAAAATCTCCAACTTATTCATACCTCAAATTTGGGGAATTGCATTTAATTTGTTGTACATGTTATGCAACAGCAAGACAACCCTTTGAAATTTCCCCCGAACGTCACAAACATATCTGTCAGTTTTGTGCACAGGGCATTTTAAATAAGTTTTGTGCTTTCACGGGGAGGTGATATACTCGACAGCTTTTCTGAGTAGTCTGTGAAGAACTGCCAGTGTAAATTAGGATGCCAGTTTTTGACATGACTTGCACTTTTAAGATGAAGTAACAGCTTTCTCTCTGTTTGACAGCCATAA